TCTGATCGTTACTGACTGACTGACCTTTGATTAGTTATGTCACTTTGGGCCTCAGCTTCCTGACTCGTGCAATGGGCACAATAAATTCTACTTCATAAGATTATCATGAGGAAGGAGTCTCCTTTCGCATTTACATTCATCAGATGAAAGCTTCTTCCCGGAGGATCCTTACTGAGCTCCCTTCTCTAAAGTCCTTAATATTTGAACCAATCATTTCTCACCACCTGGCATTAATATCTCCTAAGCAACTAGATACATACTCGCTGAGTGAGGACCAGGTCTTACTTGCCTTGTGCCTGCATTTTCTGGAATTCTGTGTCATCCTCCACTTAGATGCACTGGGAACCTGGTCCCTGGAGGGATGAATATACGCTTCCATGTACACGCAAGTACACTTAGGAATACTTCTGTGTGGTCCTCCCAACGCTGACCACACTGCTGTGGCCGGGTCACCATGGACATCTGTAAACATTGACTGAGGAAGATAGGACTCTGGGAGGAACCCCGCTGGGCTCTTTGGGGGAAATCTGCATTAAAAGGCTTGAAAACGCTGAGAAATTGTGACATTTAGACTTCCTTTGGTAGCAGATGAGGCAACTAACCAATATTAGGAAAGTTCTAGAGCAGGGCGATGGGAAAGCCTGAGCAGGGTCTTTTGGGGAAGTTATCAGGGCCTTCAGACCTGGGAGCCTCAACCTCCACCTCAACCCCCAGCCAAGCAGGCATTGCGAGGCTTTTCCTGCCCTCTAGTGGTCTCCTCTGGAATTGCCTTTGAGAAGACCGGCCCCCGAGTAGAAACCTTGAGCGTCACTTGAGGCTCATCTATTCCCAGCTCGCTTCAAGTCAACGAGAAGCCAACCGTAGAGCCTGTTCTTTAACTCTGGCGGGACCCCTCCTCTTGGCCCGAGAAGAGGGGGTTGGCCAGTGCGGGACTCCGGAGCTGTAGCCCAGCAGCGACATCTCTACCAGGGCCACCGGGGCTGGTCTCGTCCTCCTTCCAGACGGGTGGTCTGCAAACCTGCTCGCTCCAGGTCCCACTAAAGGCATTTTTCAAAACCATGTTTCCTCTTAACATTTTATTATCTTTGCAACATTTTTGTCACAGGTTCGCCTGGTTACAAAGAGATGTAACGTCCAGTTTATTGCCTATATTGGCATTTAAGAAATAAAACTGTTACATCACGCTTACAAGTGTATCCAGGGGGACCTGCATACAAGTGATTTCAGCCCTTTCCGAGAAATCCTCATAAGTCTGTTTGTACTTCTCATTCCCATTCCCCATAAAATGTTACTGCAGTGTGATGTGTTTCTGTCCTTGCAAGTCTTTTATGGACCACCCCGGAGTGAATCACCCAGACTTGAGGGGAAGGAAGGGACTGTGGAGGGGGCACCCAAGGGGAAGGTCAGGGTGGCAGGTCAGGCGGTGTAGATGGGATGGGGGCACGTACAGAGCCACCTTCACTGTTAAAAGTGGACTATCCACTATTGTTTTGGGCTCCCTGGCTCGCTTCAGGAGGGTCTGCTGTGAAAGGAAGTGAGGGGCTCAGGGAGGATTTATTTATTTCAGATTTTTAGATTTATTTTAGAGAAAGAGAGAGTGCGTATGAGCAGGGGAGGGGGAGGGGTGGAGGCGAGGGAGAGAATCTCAAGCAGGCTCCAAGCTGAGCAAGGTGCCCCATGCGGGTGGGGGGGGGGGGGGCTCCATCTCACCACCCTGAAACCAAGAGTCAGACGCTCAACTGACTGAGCCACCCAGGCGCCCCATGGTGGTGGTGTTTTTTTTAATATTTTATGTATTTATTTCAGAGAGTATGAGAGAGTGCACAAGTGGGGGGAGGGGCAGAGGGAGAGGGAGAAGCAGACTCCCCACCGAGCAGGGAGCCCAAGGACCCTGGGATCAGGACCCGATTGGAAGGCAGACGCCCAACTGACTGAGCCACCCAGGCACCCCGGTGTTTGTTTCTTTAAATCTGTGAGTGGATTACTAGTAAGACCCCAAAACCCTTAATTCCTCAGATAAGAAAATTCAGTTGCTGTGAGTATTGAAGTAAAACGGCCCAGGTCATAGGTAAGGAGATTCACTTCGCTCTAGGACTACTGACATGGCCTGCCTTTAAGACCCTTTCCCTCTGAGAAGCCTTTTTAGATCAGCTATGCCCTTATTATTTATTTTTTTTAGGTGTACAACATGGTTCGATGATCATATACATCATGAAGTGCTCACCACGGTAAGTGTAGCTGCCATCTGGTCACCATGTATCAACAAAATTATCACAATATTATTATATTTCCTACGCTGTACTTTTCATCCCTGTGATCCGTTATTATTTCTTTTTTGGATTCTTAAATTATGTGTGTGTGTGTGTGTGTGTGTTAGGTAAATTGATCATTTGAGGCATCACCCCCTGGGGTGTCCTTTCTCTCTCCATCCCACCCTTGGACCCCTGCCTGAGAGGCCGGCCACTGAGGCTCCATATGCTCTCAGGAGGGATGTTCTTGGGGTGGTAGTGAACAAGGGTATGAGCAGGAAAAGATGTGCAAGGCCATGCCTGTGGGCAGAGGAGCCCCCAGGAGGGCTCAGAGCAGAGGGGGAGGGGTGGGGTAAAAGGAAGAAGGCCCTGGCCCACTGACTGCCCTGTCCCCCTCGGGGCATGGAGGGACAGCTGCATGTCACCCCATCTGCACAAGCGGTGAGGGAGGGCTGAGGGAAACACTGCAGTCCCCATAGGCCAGGGGGCCGGGGTGAGGAGGCTGCAGAGTGACCCTTGAGGACCACAGGACCAACCACTCCAAGACACACAGAGGAAGACCCTGAGAAACTGAGCGGCCAAGCACCGGTAACACCAGTGGGGGTGGAAGGCCAGCCTGAGACTGGGGGGCTGGTCCGCAAGCTGCAGAGAGTTGAGATTGGGGCCTGGGTGAGGAAGGAGGGGTTCAACAAGACTCCTGAATATGACTGAGTTTGAACCCAGAGTGACTGAGAAATTACTGCATTGAACTAGAATTCCCCTAGAGTGAGTTGTCTGCCAATGCAGGGCTCCGAGTCTGAAAATCAAAATGAGTTATGGAATAAAAAAGACTTTTTTGGTACATTTTGTGTACATCTGTATAATTCATACTTACTAGTTATGCTGTAACACGTATCCTAATTGGATACAAGTATGTGTGACATGATTATGAGATAGCTTTTTACCTTTTTTGGGGGTGGGGGGGACAAAACTACAGACAAACATACTCAAAAGTAGAGATCACCAGAATTACAAACTCCTGTATCAGTTAGGGTCTCAACAAAAGATAGATGTGCTCCCATGAGGATAATTCGAGTGAGGGTTAAAGTTAGGGCTGGGGTGTGGGGAACCAGTCTGAGCGGATAGGGCAGGGAGTTGTTACCTCCCTGATGCCCAGAGAGACCAGGGGAGGAAATGGTTCTGGGGACACTGGCAGGGTGGGAGTGGGGGGTAAAGATCTGTTCTCACTCTCTTCTTTCCCTCCTTTGCCTGCTAGGAAGCCAGGGGCCAAGGGAGCCATAGAAGTTGTCCAAGTGGTTTGGCCTCTTGGGGTTCAGATCAGGATGGGGAGAGTAGACGGACAAATGGAAAGTATCTGGCATAATCCCATATGCCAACACCTAGCTGCAACAAGTGTATTAGGTTTCTACTGCTGCTGTAACCAGTTACCACACATTCTGTGACTCAAAACACCACCATGGGAAATCTCCCAGTTGAGGTCAGAAGCCCAGCACAGCGTGGCTCAGGTGGGTCCTCTGCTGAGGGTCTCACAGGGCTGCAATCAGGGGGTCTGGAGGGCCGTGCCCCTTCCTGAAGGCTCTGGGGAAGAATCCGCTCCTAGCCCATGCAGGTTGTCATAGGACCTGGTTCCCTGTGGTTATAGAACTGAGGTCCCAGTTTGCTGACTGTTGGCCAGGAGTTGTTCTGAGCTTGTAGAGGTAACCTTGCTCCTTGGCTCATAATGGCCTTCCTCCATTTTGAAGGCACCGATGGCCGGTCAAGTCCTTCCTACCCTTCAGCTTTATCTTACCTGCTTTATGTTTTGGCCTTAGTTGATTCTTCTGCCTTCCTCTTCTGGCTTTCCGGGCCCTCCTGCATTGTCCAGGATAAAGAATCTCCCTGTTTTAAGGTACCTAATAACTTTAATTCTATCTGCAAAGTCCTTTCACAGGACTACCTAGACTAGAATCTTGGAATCTTTAAAATATAGGCAACTACTACAGTGATCAGCAACTTGCCAATCTTCCATCACAAGCTTTTTTCTTTTTTTAGTGATTAAAAAAAAAAAACAACTATACTGAGCTATAACTCACATGCCATACAATTCACTTATTTAAAGTGCACATTTAACAGTTCTTGTATATCACATTCTTAATCTTGAAGAGTTGTGGTAGAATATATATATGTAACATAAAATTTGCCATTTTAACCATTTTTGAGTGTGTAATTCAGTGGCATTGAGTACTTTCACAATGTTGTACAATTATTACATCCCAAACTCTTCCATGACCCTAAATAAAAACTCTGAAACCATTAAGTGGTAACTCTCCATTCGTCCTGCCCCCAGCCCTGGTGACATCTAGTCTACCTTTGGTCTCTGTGAATTTGCCTAATCGAGGGACCTCATATATGTGGAATCATATATTTGTTCCTTTGTGTCTAGCTTTCACTTAGCATAATGACTTCAAATTTCATCCATGTTGTAACATGCTGGAACTTCTTTCCTTTTTATGGCTAAACATTCCATCGTAGGAGTACACTTATTTATCCTTTCATCTGTTGATGGGACTTGGGCTGTTTCTACCTTTGGTTATCGAGAAAATGCTGCTGTGAACACTGGATCTGTCTGAGCCCGTTTTCAATTCCTTTGGGTGTATACTTAGTAGTGGAATTGCTGGATTTGGTAACTTTATACTCAAATTATTAAATGGCTATTGTCTTATCCTAAATCAGCCCCCAACAGTAAATGTCTTCATTCAAACAAGATAAAGATTTTTTTTAACAAAAAATTGTTTAATTTTCTGCACTGATATTTGTACAGCTGTAAACTCAAGGAATCATCCAATACTTGTATAAATCTGGGGGAACAGTTAATAAGCACCTTCAGTGGATTCCACAGTTTAAGAATTGACCATTTGAAAACTTTTAGAATGAATCTAGTAAAATGAATAAAATAGTTATAAAAACCTATACAAAATCATGACAAACATTTGATATAGAGGGTTTGATATGGAACGATAAATATAAAAAATAAGCAAAACTAATTCAGGGGGCTGGGCTGGATAAAAGACCCATGTGTTCCCCAAATCGTGTGATTCTGGGGGATATATCTGGCTCTCAAAACAAACTCCAGGGAAAGGCTCTTTCCCGATCCAGGTGCCACTGGGATGCTGAAGCAGATGAGGACAATGTGGGGAGGAGGTACAGGTGGGACAGGGAGGAATGAACTCACTGAGGTTTGTAGATAAGGGGAAGGATCTCTGCCCCAAGGAGAAAAACAAGCAAATTCTTCCATGTCTTCAAGCGTAAGTGTTCTTTGGCAAAAGGTGCCATTTTCTCTTTGGGATTATTAAAGAGTTTCTCTCATTGCTGCTGTCAAATGCCCTTCTCTACCCTTTCCTCTTGATCAGTCTCTTTTTGGTACTTTCCACTGAGCTTTCTCTACTCCCTTACCCTAATCCTTCCTGACTCCAACTCCTTATACGCTCAGCTTTCAATCCAAAATTCCTATTGTTTTGCAACTCTGGGAAGCAGCCGATAAAAGGTAACACTAGCTACTCGTCTGGCCTGGAGATGTTTCTAAACACATAAACATGACAGGTGGCAATGGTCACTTTAATTACACCAATGAGCAATCAAGGGTCTGGGTCAGTAGTATAAATACTCAACCTGGCCCTCTTTGATGAAAAGACAGCCAGCAAGGGCCATGAGCAGAGGGAGAAACAAAGGAGAAGCGAGCTCATGTTGACTGTAGATCAGCTCTCACCAGTGCGGGAGGGAGGGAAGGGCCCAAAGGGGAGTCATCACTGGTACCAGCCCCCAGCTATGCCCGAAGTGAGGGAGGCGGGGCATCGGTGCCAGCCGTGGGGCCAGGCCACTCAAGAGACCAGATGCTGGGATCCAGGTGCTTTGCGCAAACAGGAGTAATCTGGTAACCACTGGTGTAAATTAAGTAAGCACTTCTGAAAAATCCTCATCCTCAAACACCTGACTCTACACCTTGAAATTCCTGCCACTGGACACTCTTTTGACTGAAGGCTTTGCCTACCTGCTGAAATGCCAGTAACTTATCTGGGAGGGGCTGCTCCTTATGGCCCACAAGTATCCACATAGCCCTAAGACAGGGTGGGTTTTGAACGAAGGCCAAGGCTTACTCACTGTGATGGGGACCTTGGGCAGGATGCAGGTGGTAGACTCGGGGGGAGAAAGCTAGGAGGATGAGGGAAATCTGAGCACCAAGAGAAAAGCGGGGGAGGATTAACTCCCTCCTTCATTCACAGCCTCGCCTGGGTGGCCCTGGCTGGTATGTCAGGGAGATAACAGGATGGCAGGTGTGTCAGAGTGAGGCTGAGCTCATAAGGCCACAGGGGAGGGGGCAGCTCAGGCCTGGGGAGTCTCTGCTCACCACTGGGCTGCTAAGTTGGGGAAAGGTTCCAGAGCACTGGGATGGGCATATAATCCTCCCTTGGGAGGGTTTTCTGTCTGTGTGTAGGGGAAGAGATTTTCCCATTCTGGAAGCCCAGGGCATATGTTTTGGGGGACAGTGAGGGGAACACTGTTGGGGCTCAGGCTGGATAGGACCTGGGCGTGGTGGCCACCAGATCAGATAGTTTTCAGTCTGGACCCTTTCAAATAGGGTGCTGCTGAATACTTGCAGAGGGAATGAGGCACTCTTGTCTTTATTTCTGCTCGATACAGTCAACTCCCAGAGTGTTGTCAGGGCAACGGCAGGTCCTGCTTCCGGGGGTGGCCAAGCAGAGGTGGGTGCAGCCACCATTGTTCACTGAGCAATAGTTGTGACCTGGAAAAGGCAGAAATCAGCTCAATTGCCCCCTAAGAGAGGAACCTCTGTATTAGCCCCCTCTTTGGTTTCCAGGGGGCCAAGCATGTGGGTGCTCCAGGAATAGGGAATCCTCTTCACTAAGGATCTGCCAGATGGGCAAAAACATCGTTTTCCGATTCCTGAGTTGGGGACTGTGCCGATTTACCATCAAAGCTACTGAACAGGTCTCAGGAAGGATTTTCCAGCTCTCATTATAACACGGAGCTGGAATTTTCAAGCACAAAGCGCTCTCTGTCTCGCTTGTCCACTCGGCTTCACATTGGACCAGGGTGGTGGGGGGGCAGGTGGGAAGCCAAGGAGGGCGAGTTCAGGGAGAGCAGATTCTGGAGCCGGGCTGCCTAGCTCACCCCCAGCCGTGCCTCTGAGCTGTGTGACTCTGGGCCAGCGGCTTCAGTTTTCCTTACTTATAAAATGGGCACAAGCACAGTACCCACCTCAGTGGGGCTGCTATGAGGATTAGTGAACCAATGAGCACACAGCACCGAGAACGCCGGGTCGGTGTATGTGAAGTACGCAGCTCACAGTAAGCACCTCATCCATGTTCGTCATTATTAGGAGCAACAATTATTATTGTGGCTGTGAGGCCAAATCGATGGACTTTGAAAGCAGCAGAGATCATAACACGGATGTTCCTCTTTGGAACCTGAAGACCACTCACTTCTAGAGCCAGCCCAAGATTCAGCGCTTTCCCTCACCCTGGTCCACCATCTCCACCTCATCCCCTAATGTTTTCTACGTGGCTCACCCACTAAATAATGGAAGACGCATGATGGAAGGGACTGGGTCTCACCTGCCACGTGATGAGGGCTGCAAGAGGCCAGGGTGTGGGCTTGCAGCCTCAGGGCACCCTGAACAGTAAGAGCACAGGTGAGTTACCTTGGGGACACTGAGCCAGGGCCATGGTGACGCCATACAGCCGGGTCTGCTTGTGGGGGTGGAAGGTATCCGTCTCTTTGGAAATAGCAAGGTCTACAGCGACCACGGAATTCCTACGGAACACCAAAGGGCAGAAGGTAAAGACACATCTGATGGCTCGAACGTTCTGTCTACAGGGCAGCCTCTTCTGTGGTTTTGGGGACAAACCAGAGGCCACGCAGAGACACGGTGGCCTGCCTTCCTAGCCATCCCTCCCTCCTCCTGTGAAGGGACAAGCCTGCGTTTCTCTGGCTTCTTAAAAAAGGACAAAGATGAGCTAAGCTCTCCCCTCAGCTCTAACTTCCAAGCTGGGAAAGCAGCTTTCTCTCCAGATGCCCCCGACCACAGCTGCTTGCTCTGTGTGAAGCCTCCTTTGTGCAGGATGGGTGGTCAAGAAGGGGCTGTGGGAATACTGTAGTTTAAGAAGCGAAATGAAGAGGGGCACAGCATGGGCATGGAGCCGAGCCCACCCACCGAGGGACCTTGGGCCAGCTTGTGGGGAGAGAACAGACACGCTCCAGAAGTCCAAGTAGGTGCCCATCCAGGAGCATCCAGATGATAAACAGCACCTCCTGCCCCCACCCCCCCAGGTGCCCTCGCCCTCACTCTTCTTCCCCCTCCTTTCCTAACAACCAGAAGGATAAGGCAGGGGGCCACATGGCAGGGGGCTTGGCCTCCCAGAGACAGGGTGGCAGGGCAGGCTCCCCAGCCCCCGCTGACGTACGTCTTCCAGTCTGTGTAATACAGATGTTTCCCATAGCTGGTGACAGCAAAAGGGTACTGGAGCCCTTCGAGAACCCTGCGTCGGCCGGACTGCCCGGGCTTCAGACACTCCACCCGACTGGTGCCTATGCGGAGCGAAAACAAGGCGTTCATTGTGCACACATGAGACGGCCCCTTTGTGTCAAGACGAGTGATGAGGGCAAGGGTGAGAGAAGTCAGTGCGACCATGACAGATCCTGGAGAACACACGTGACCCGCTCTTCAACCGTGGAAAGCTTTCTCTTTGCCCTGCCTTGCCCCTGTCGCTGGCCAACTCCCACCTCCGCTGGGGGACCCAGACCTGGTTCCAACGTGGGCCGGAGCCGAGGGGCCGTTCCTAGCTCCACTCATTCCCAGAGCGGCTGGGGACTTAGTAGGAATGATGACGTCTTCCAGGTCTCGCTCAAGTTCCTACCCCCTGAAGCCTCCCAGGCCCTCCCTCCCCTCACTCAGAGCCCTTACCCTGGATGCAAGATGCAGCCCCTACACCCCGCCCCACGATGGCAGCCAGCAGTGTTGGGAACAGGGCAGGTACGGTACTCCACAGACACGGACAGCTGACTGACCCTGCTCCCCGAAGGAGCATCCCGCCCACATGCCTGCCTCAGGGACACCCCACGGCAGGGGCTCACAGCAGGACTGCACACCTTTCTCTTCCTTGGCTCCAAGTCCCGCCTGAGTCCTTGGGGACAGATTCGAGCTATAGGAATGTAAGGCATGAATTGCATAATAGATAGATGATATTAGGATGAGGACAGGCTCAAGGGGTCAGCACGCTTTTTCTCCAAGGGCCAGATGGTAATTAATTTAGGTTTCGTGGGCCAAGAGGCACAATTGAGGACATGCTGGAGACATTTATGTAACCTCTTACAATGTTAACATTTAAAAATGTAAAAACCATTTATAAGACCCAGGTGGTATTAAAGCGGGTGGCTGGTTGGATCTGGCCCATGGGCTAGAGGTTGCTGACTCTTGACTGAGAAGACTGAGAACTTGCCCTTGGACAGCGAGCGTCAAGCCTTGAGAAACAATACAGCGCAGAGCAAAGATGGGCAGCTGTTTTTGCGCAAGAAAGTGAAAGAGCTATCTCACACCATCTTCCCCAGAACAGATACTAGCCCGCAGTGGATAAGAATAAATGTTTAGTTTAAAGAAGAAAAAAAAAGCACTGCTCCAAAGCCAGGAGTCAGGCCTGGGGCTTTCCGTCACCTGCGTCCACCCAGCAGAGCTGAGATGAGTAGGCATCAAATGTCAGCCCGTTGGGCAAGCCCAGGTCATCCTGCACGAGAATCCTCCGGTTCGTGCCGTCCATGTAGGAAGTTTCAATTTTGGGGCTATCTCTGTTCCAGTCGGTCCAATAAAGGTTCCTGGAGGAGGAAAAGGAAGGGAAAGAGGGAGACGAATAACGAAGAGGATGAGAAGAAGTTTACAAAGACAACTTAAAAAAAAACCCACGATGAAGACATTAGCAGGTGTTCAAACACAGTGTGGCTAAAACGAGTCTGGAGACGATAAGACATGTTCTCCTTTGGGAAGAGACTTGGATTTGGGGGTTGTTTGAATTTGGTTACTCTTTACTAGTGAATTCGCTTCCCTTAAACATAACTGACATGTTCTATCTCGCTAAAGTGGGTCAAAAAGACAGCACAAAGCAGAACACTGCAATGAGACAGACGTGGGAATTCCTGTCTGCTGTCCCTACACAGGGGGGCACAGCATCTGCCATCAGGGAGGTGGCCACGGGGCCACCGAACTAGGGATGTGGCCTCACAGGGAAGGGATCAAAGTGTGAAGGCGCTGAGGGCGTGGTGTGTAAGATTCAGAGCCTGTCATAGGGAAAAAGAGAGAAAGCATTGATGTGATGACAAAACCCAAGACGGGGTCTTCCAGGGGTCCATGGTGTGTTGGCCTGAGCCTCAGGGGTACATTTATGCTCCTCTGATACCCTTTTGGGGCTGACACAACACAGGTTTGATCCACATTCAACTCAAATGGAAATAACCAATTTCTGAGCTGTCGACTTACAGGGTCCCTTCCTTAAAGATTTAAAAGTGGAACATGGGATCAAGTCCATGGTCACGGGGAACTGGGATAAATGTTCTGGCATTTCACCGTGCATATCTCTAAGCCACCCACTGAGACCTGTTCATCCTGTGACGCATTCATTTCAGGAGGGCAATGGCGGAGTTAGAGCCTACCGCTTGAGAATATATAAAAAAGCAGCTGCAAACTGAATAGACCCACACCCATATTTACACACAGTTACCCTCGCACGGAGTCTGTTACGATGCCTCTGGGATTCACCAAATCAGTCTCAAACAGCACCCGGCGCTGGGTGCCATCCAGCTTTGCAACTTCTATTCGATCCAAATGAGAATCAGTCCAGAAAATGTTGCGGCCAAGATGGTCAAGGGCAATGCCTTCTGGACTTCCAAGATCTAGAACCAAACACAGGACACTGCTGGGTTTTTTAAGCAGGTGAGATTAGGTTTTTCTGATTACTCAGTGTTATTTCACATGGTGTTCCACCCTTGCACTTTGGGAAAACGAATGGGAATGTGGAATGCTTGTTGCTTATAAGTTAACCAACACTCAAAATGATGCATTAAAGAATGTCACTCATTTACTTGGCAGACACCTACCCTGTGTACCATACTGGGAACCAAGCCCAACATCACACCTCAGCTGTGGCCCTGGCTTCCAGGAGCTTGCAAGCGATCACAATTCAGACTGAGTTCTGGCTTTATGGGAACATGGAGGCGGACACCAGACTTAGCCTGGGGAGACCCAGGAAGGATTTCTAGGGGAAGTGACACCTCGTGAAGCTGGCTCCTGAAGGACCAGCAGGAGTTTGTCAGGCAAAGATCCTAGCTGAGGGATGCCAGGTGGTGGGACCAGCACATAAGTATAAAGGAAGATTGGACATGGCTTGAAGTGAACTATATATAATTTTGGACGGCTGGAGTCTGTGAGGATGGGAGAGCCGCCAGAGATGAAGTTAGGATGCCCATGTTAAGGAGCTTAGAGCTTATCCCATGAGCAAAGGGGAGGCATAGGAAGATCTTAAGATGGGAATGGAACAAAAAATAGATTTGCCTTATTCACTAGTTATTAGGGGAAAAGGGTCATCTCAGAGATAATAGCAAGAAATCATAGCTGTTATTTCTTTTATACAAATATGAAAAGTGCAAAGAAGGGGCGTGAGTTATCAGAAGTAACACTCCCAGAGTCCGTACTAGGTTATAAGTGACTGATTCTCAAGGCAGGGCTTGCCACAGGGTAAGCCCACTGCAATATGAGCCTTCAGTGCCCACCTAACCTAACCACAAGTTCAAGACTGAAATGATGCCCTGACTACAAATAAAAACAAACTAAACATTAGATCCCCACCAGGGTTTTACTGGTCACTTAGGATTCTTTCCTAATCTTACTGATTCGACAGCTAAAGGTCACTTAGTATGGCTGGAAACCAGGAAGGGGAAGAGGCCAAGGAAGAAGCTACTCTACCCGAGGGATCCCAGGTTTGAGGAAATCATTCCCACACTGTGTTTTTTGCCAATGTGTAAGCGGTTCAGACCCTCGGCTCTCTCAGATCAGCCTTCACTTGACTCCTAATATGACCTTGACTGTGGATGCTGGAAACACCAAAGCCCCGCCCCCCAGAAAGGACCCCTGCCAGAGGAAGTTTATTAAGAATGAGAAACAGCCCTTGAACAAGGTTTTTATTATTCAAACCAGAAGCAGAGATTTGGGAGGTATTAAAATATTTCCCACGTCCCTAGGGGAGAAGGGGCAGCAAGGCTGACCTCGGAAGACTTCTGGTGTCTTTCAGACAAAACCAGAATAAATCATTCCAGGGTCTATCTGGGATGAGCACATCCTCTGCCAGGGACACTGATGACTCAGACACACAGACAGGAATGTCGGGGGGAAGGCTGTTCAATAGCACTATTTCACAAGACATCCAGGGGCACCCAGAAACTCCGTGTCGTTCCATCTCCTTAGAAACAGCTCCGGTCCTGATTTCGAACCCAAGAGCAACCAAACCTCCTCCTCCAACCAGGAAAAAACTTCTTTTTGAAGTATCACGCCAAAGAAATGTCTGGAAAACCTCACCCTTTACTGTGCAGTCAGGGCTTCTTAAGAAGGGAAGACAGCAAGGCGGTATTTTCCATACTGCTTATGTCAAGAGGAAACAGATTAGGATACTTATTAAAGATATTTGGGTAGGAGTTTAACTCAAGGAAAGAGAGAGACGCTTAGCATTGGGACCCCATTCCACCTTCACTCACTAGGGAGGCACCTACCTTACCATGATAAAGGATGAAGTGGAAGTTTCTTTCTCCCTTTTTAAATAAAAGAGAATTTTCCCCAGTGATCTTCCCTCTACAAAGATCACATTCTAGTTTCATTCTGTGTTTTCACAGTGGACTTTGGCCTGGAATGTTCCTTACTGAGCTTAAAGCTTTCTTGGATGATTATCAGTTCCAGAAGCAACAGGAAATAGCAGTGATGACCTACTCCCCTCTTCCACGGGGTTTGCAAGTCAAACCAGAGATAACAGCAACAACATTTTTAACAGAGAGAGGGAGAAGACGCAAAAAGGCATTTTCAAAATTCTGTTCATTAAGCCAAACCATGAAAACTGGCAGACATTATTTAAGTAGCACCTTGGCTTCTAGAAAAGGATGCAGGGTCTATGTCCGAAGCTAGACATATTTAAGTCAACCTCTGCTTGATTCCTGCTCCTGCTGCATCATCTTTTGTGAAGGAGCCAAGGAAGGGGGAAAAAAAAACTTCCCCACAGGCTGTTCCACAGGCACAGCGACTCTCTGGGAATATCAATTGTCATGGAAACATTAAACTGGAAATTGGAAAAGCGATATTCAGCCCCAAGTCAAAAGAAATACCAAATGAGGCTCATACATTTAGAAGGTGTATCTTTGACTTGAGTGTTTTGCAGAGGAAGCAAGAAGATTTTATACAAGACCTATCATTGGCACAACAATGTCTTTTGATCGAAAATATCTGCAAGTCAGCTGATGAGTTATTGACTTAGCATTATGTAATATTTTCAGTAAAGGGGAATTTATACAGGTTCTTGGGTCTTTAATCTTGATAAAACACAGCCACAGAAAATAGTCATGACTTGAATATAGACATTATAATAACGCACAGTCCTTGGCTTAAATCAACCTCTATAAATTAAGGACTCGAGGTTAAATGTTGAGAGGTAGGCTATGCCAAGGTGTTATGCACTTCATTATCAGTAATGCCAACTAAAAATTGAGGAATACCTATGAAAGTTCAGCCCGCTTTGCTATACTCCTCTGTCACAGGCAATCTGAGCAAGTACCATGGGGGGTAAGGTAGAAAAGGACCCTCCCCCGCCAACCACCACGATGTCGCAGGCTGAAGTGGCAACTTTTGACTTGAAAATTGTCTTGGGAATAGTCACCTATCAGGGATAATATTTGCCAATATGCTTGTAATCCTCCCAACTTTATGATGCATCTGCCTAATGGAGCATACCATGGGGCAGACATCCTGAGAATCAATTCTAGGCTCCACAGCCAGAGGAGAAACGGATATCCAAAGTGGACCGTTGAGTTCGGCCCTTATTGTTCATTAAAACTTGCTAGATAAGCTTTTAGAGAAAGGCATGGGCACTTACCTGTTTTAATTGTATTCTTCTTAGGCCAACAACAAATCCAAGCTAAGGTGTTCATGACTTAATGATGAGTCCTTAGAGGACTTTTCAGAGAAGGCTGGAAAGGGTGGTGTTGAGGCCAAGAACCCAGTCCCACTCAAATCACTATATCCTGTATGCAACCATGCACTCTGCTCTCCCCCAAGAAGCCAAACCAAGAAGGGAGAGTGGTATTTGCTTGCCCACCTTGTCGAATGATGGTATTTGGCTCTCCGCCATGCAGACTGGCTCTCCCAATGGAAGGCTCACTGATGTCCGTCCAGTAAACCATCTTCTCCACACAGTCGAAGGCCAGTCCAATGATGACTTTATCCTGGAAGTACAGACAGCGTAAGAGTGGCCCACTCACTAGCATCCGAGTGACCAACGATGGTGGGAATCTTTCACATCTTTACAGGTATCTGGATGCCTTTTTTTTTTTTTTAAGATTTTATTTATTTGACAGAGAGCGAGAGAGAGACAGGGAAGGAGAGAGCAAGCACAAGCAGGAGTGGCAGAAGGAGAGGGAGAAGCAGGCTCCCCTCTGAGCAGGGAGCCTGATGCGGGGCTCAATCCCAGGACCCTGGGATCATGACCTGAGCTAAAGGCAGACGCCCAACCGACTGAGTCACACAGGCACCCCTGGATACCTTTTTAAACGAAGTGTCTTCAAGTCTTTAGTCTACCTATTGAGTTGGGAGTTCTTTATGTAGTTCAGATAAAAATCTTTTGTCACATATATATATATATGTGTGTGTGTGTGTGTGTGTGTGTATTTCCACTCATTATGTAGTTTTTCTCACTTTTTTGTTTGTTTGCTTTTGTTTTGTTTTCATTTTCTTTTTTTTTTTTAAAGATTTTATTTATTTATGTATTAGAGAGCGAGAGAGAGAGAAACAGCATGAGAGGGGAGAAAGTCAGAGGGAGAAGCAGGCTCGCCGCTGAGCTGGGAGCCCGATGCGGGACTCGATCCCAGGACTCCAGGATCATGACCTGAGCCGAAGGCAGTCGCTTAACCAACTGAGCCACCCAGGCGCCCTTGTTTTCATTTTCTTAATGGTGTTTTTCAAAAGCAAAAGTTAAAAATATTTATTAAGTTCAATTTATTATTGTTTCTCTTATGACTAATGCTTTTTATATACCATCTAAGAAATCTTTACCTACCTAAAGATCATTTAAAAAAAAAGACGCAAATAGGGCGCCTGGGTGGCTCAGTCAGTTAAGCGTCTGCCTTCAGGTCATGATCTCCAGGTCCTCAGATTGAGTCCCCAAATCGGGTTCCCTGCTCATCGAGTCGGGTTCCCTGCTCATCGGGGAGTCTGCTTCCCCCTCGGCCCCTCTCCCTGCTCGTGTGCTCTCTCTCGTGTGCGTGTGCATGCACACTCTCTCAAATAAATAAATAAAATCTTTAAAAAAAAAGACAGAAATATTGGAAAGGAAGAGGTAAAACCACTCTAAGACAATTTGATTGTTTATGTAGAAAATCCTGGGGAATCCATAAAACTACTGTAACAACTGAATCCAGTCCAAGGCTGCAGTGTACAAGGTCAATATAAAATGGTATTTCTACATACTAGCAAAAAATAAAAAGTTCAAACAGTAATGTTTATAATAGCACCCAAAACAAAGTATTTAAGAACAAATATTTTTAAATGTGCAAGATTCTATACTGAACACTATAAAACATCACAGAGTGAAATAAAGGAAGACTCAAATAAATGAAGACCTAAATTAGTCTAATGGATTGTAAGATTTAATATCGCTAAGACATCAGTTTTTCCTAAATAGAGTTAGAGATTCAATGCCATCTAGATCAAAATCCCAGCAGGCTTTTTTTCCCCTTTGGTAGAAACAAGCTTACTCTAAAATATCTACGGAAATGCAAAGTGAATATATAAAGAACTCCCACAACTCAGTAACAACAAATAAGCCGATTACAAAATGGGCAAAGGATATGAGTAGACATTTTTCCAAAGAAGATACATGAATGGTCCCTAAGTGCATGAGAAGATGAGAATATCGCTCATTAGAGAAATGCAAATCAAAACCACAATGAGACACCACTTCACACATATTAGGATGGCTACTATTATAAACCAGAAGATAGTAAGTGTTGACAAAAAGGTAGAGAAATTGGAATCTTTGTACCTATGCTGGCGGAAATGTAAAGAGGTGCAGTTACTGAGGAAAACAGTATGGCAGTGTCTCAAAAAATAAAAAAAAAAGTCTGCAGAATTACCTTATGATTTAGAAATTCTAGGCCTGGTTTATGTTCAGAAAGAATGAAAGCAGGGACTTGAACAGATAGATATGTGTACAACCACATTCACAGCGGCATTATTCACAGTAGCCAATGGGTGGAAGCAACCCAAGTGTCCATCAATGGATGATGCATAAACAAAATGTGCTAAATCTATACCAAGATCAGCTTAAGAAGGAAGGAAATTCTGACATCTGCTACAACATGGATGGACCTTGAGGACATTCTGCGAAGTAAGCTGGTTACAAAAGGATAAATACCATAGGATTCCGAATGCGTGAGGCACCCTAGAGGAGTCAAATCCATAGAGACAGAAAGTAGACGCGTGGTTGCCAAGGGCTGGGGAAGGACGGAGTTATTCCTGAATGGGTACAGAGTTTCTGTTGGGATGATGAGTGGATGGTGGTGATGGTTGCACCATCACGATAAAGTAGTTAAAAGGGTAAAAATACCCAAAAAACAAATACATTAAAAGAACACAGTGAATCTTAATCCTGTTGTTTGAGCGCCCTCCCCTCCACCTATCCCACCTCAAGTTTTTGCTTTTCCCAGCCTCACGTGACATTTAGGCTCTGCCCTTCGTCTTGGGTGACAATGACTGTCACAAGGGGCTCAACCCACTCCCGCTACCTGAGCGCGTGCACCGGAGGACACAAAGAAAGAATGACAATTGCCCCTGAAGGGATTTATGTTTCTGAGAGACAGCAGAAGAACACAGAGATCACCTATTCATCCAGCAAATAGTTGTGGCTCTAAGAACACCACTGTGAAACAAATACCTCCATTAAGAGATGGACGGTTGCTGGTCTTGCGAGCTTTACGTTCTTAGTGGGAACATATACATCAGATACAGAACATATATGTTGATATATAATGTATCACGCAGTGCTATGGTAAAGACAAAGCAGGATAGGGAGACAGAGAGCAGTGTGGACAGGGCGGCCAGGACAGCCTTCCCAGAGAGGTGACGTGCCAACAGAAATGTGAATGAGGTGAGGCAGGGAACTGCACAAGTGTCTGGGAGGGTGAGGACTCCAGGCAGGGGGGGCGGCAAGTGCAAAGGCCCTGAGATGGGGATACGTGTGTGGTGAGTTGAGGACCAGCCAGAAGGCCAAACGGCTGAAGCTGGGGTAGGGGGGCGGCGGGGACGGTGACAGGGAATGGGGTGGGAGAAGTGGCTGGAGGCCATGGGAAGAACTGGCTTTTATTCTGGGTGAAGGGAGAACCCATCAGAGGGTTTTGTGCAGGGGAAGAACATGAATCCAATCCAGGCTAATGACAAAAGGTTTTGAAAAGCCTCTTCACCCCTTACGGGGCCTAAGGGTCCCCCTCTGCCCCGGCAACCCTGACCGAATCGTGCCAGAAGACCCCAGTTCTCAGGTCTGGTTTCTTGCTGAGGGCTGGGGGGGTGGTCAGGATTGCAGATGAAACTGGAAGGCTTTTCAGAAGTGTCCAACCTCTATCTAACGGACAAAAACCTCCAACTCACAAAATGCATCTTTGATGCTTTGAAAAGCTCGAAGCTGAAGCCTATTATTGCCTCGGGGCAGATATGAGGATCTAGAGTTGACGGTCTGCCAAACATGAGCCGCTGCACTAATTTAGCAGGAACGGCAAGGTCGGACCTGGGAGACGCACACAAACGAGACACCTAGCCCATGTGACGCCCCCACCCAAAGGGTCAGACACCGCAGTGGTCTCTGAAAGGCCTTCCGCTTCTGCTCCCAACCCCTCCTGGAGCTCCACAGGCAGCTCAAGAATACAGTGGCCCCATCTAGAGATGGACACCTGGGGTCACACGGAAATCAAGAGGCTCCTGAGTCCAGGGGTCAGGCCCCGGGGCTGGTCTAACAACTCCCTGCTTGATTTCCCAGGTCACCGAAGCACCGAAGCTAATTGCTAATGTGCAATTAGCCGGCACTCACCGGGGCGTGAAGCAACGTCTTGGCTTCTGTCTTCTGCATGGTGCTTCCTTCCAGGGGGACGCGCTCTATCTTCCCAGTCTGAGCAAAGAGTAAGTGGGTCCCAGGTGGCAGGGGGATCACAGCGGTAGGAACGGAGGGTCCATGGTGAATCGGCGGAGCCACTGTACTCAGACCTGGGTGGCAGGAGAGGTCAATGAGCAAGGCCTCCGTGCAGCAGGAACGCACACACGGGGTCATGCCACCTTCGTGGCACCAAAGACAGCAGAGCCACACAGTGCCCACTGTACATCTAGAAGCACAAGGAGCAGAAAGACCACAGAGGGCATTTGTGAAGAAGATAAGGCCAGGCAGGAGTTTAATATTAAAGGTCATGTGAAAACAAACAAACAAACAAACGCCCAACAACGGCTTAGCCTTCCCCTTACCAGAAACAGAAATAATGTAACCATTCCAGCCCTGCTCTGGACACTGGCTGCCACAGTGAACCAAAACGACAGCAAGAGTAGCCCCCCAAAACCCCTGCCCCCAGGGAGCTCGCACTCCAGGGGAAGGTGCTGAGCTTCCCAAGGCGGGAGGGGCGCTCAGAGCAAACCTGCCCTACACTCCCTGTCCCGCGGGGCGGGCGAGTCACAGACCCAACCCAACGAGCGGGCACATGCCCTCCCTGGGCCTTCCAGGAACAGAATGATGGTCAGGGGCTCATTCTCCCCCAGGTTCGGCCTCGCCTCCTCAACGCAGACCCCGATGCGTGGCACTACTCCCTGGCTCCCCCCAACGAGACAATGTCCTGAGAAGGGACAGGCAGCCCGGGCTGCAGGGGGAGGGGCCGGAATGGACGAGTCGCGGCCCTTCCGGGGCTCTGTCCCCGGCTCTCTGAAGAGAGAGAGTTGGACCCGGTCCTTACTGGGGCCATTTCCACTTCTTTCTCTGGCCTGCCTGTCTTGCCCATCGTACCCAGTCAGTGACATAAACCAGGCTGGCTGACTCCTTTACTAGCTCTGGACTCCATCCCTCCTCTCTAAACTCCCTGCCAGCAAGCCAGGTGGTTCCCTCACCTGTTAGGCACCCGCCGGGGCCGCTCACTCCAGCTCAGCTTCTACCCATCAGCCAGCGGTATTTCTAAAACCCGAACCTGGTCGCATGAATGCATGCTCAAGACCCTCCCCGGGCTCCCGGCTGCCCTCGAGATCAACCCCAGGCCCCTCTGCTGGGCATCCAAGGCCCTCCCCCAGGCTCCCCTCCTCTCTCCGACCTCTCAGCCTGCACCTGCTGCCTGCAATCGGCCTCCTCAACCCCAGCGTCCCCAGAGCTGCTACCTTAGCCTCTGCTCAATAACATATTCGTCTGCAACACCTTCCCCAACTAGCCCACCACCCTCATAAGCCTCTGGGTTTCTCGGCCCCCTCCTCTCTCATGGAGCTCCTCTCCCTGCCCCGCGAGGTTCCGGGGGCCGCCTCTGTGACTTCCCCCTCTGGACCCCCGGGCACTGACCCCAGCATCTGAAGCTCAGTTAATGTTGGCTGCATGAATTAAGGACCACTCCCTACTCACTTAGCGGCCTCTTAGCAGCTTCCGGGACATATCTGGTAGAGGATCAGTCCTTGATCCTCAGCTGAATTGAGAATGGAGCTTCAAGGACTGATTGATTCTGGTCGCTTGTGGCAATGACCATTTCCTGCAGGATTTTAGAGCTGGGATCCCTCCTAGAGATTGCTCTGCTCCTCTCTAGTGCGGAGGCTGAGGCAGTATGGGTCCCAAGCAGCACAGCCCGGCCGGCCTCACGCTCCCCCCGCTCCCGGCCCCGCACCTCCCAGAGAAGGCCTTCGGTTGGCCTCTTCCAAGCCTGCCACATCCCAGCCCGCAGCTGCTGGGAGGCCAGGGGGCCACCGCAGGGAGTCTGTCCTGAGGGACCTACAGCACACATACCCTCTGCTACCAATGCGGTATGGCCACCCAGTGCCACTGAAATTTGTACCCAACAGGTGTGCACAGAGAGGAAGAGAACCGGTATGAGGAGAGGGTTGGGACAGAGAGATGGAGGGAGTGGGGTGCATGATGAGGGGGACAGAGAAGAGGGGTGCAGAGGGAAGAGAGGGAGGGAGGGAGGGAGGGAATGGGGTCCGGGCCGGTGGAGCAGTGCAGGATTTAGGGCAGACAGAATGTGGCACCTGTGTCCAGGGCTGCTCACGGGCACGGGGACTCTGATCCCTGAGGCCCTTCTCAGACCCAAGCTCAGCGCAGCGCTGCCCTCCGACTTACAGGGGGGCCTCATCCCGGGCCTGGTCCTGGTGCCCTCCAGCTCACGGCCGTCGCGATCCACGCACCAGCACTGGCCCGTGCTGCCGTGGCACTGGGTGGGCACGTAGTACCCATGCTCGTCACACTCAGGGACAAACAGGCTGGGCCGCTGTGAGCCCGTCACCCCCGCTGCCCTGAGGATGTGTTCTCTCTCCAGTTGGCATCGGGTTTTCTCCATTTCTACGACAGAGACAAGGACAGGGGAGGTGGTCAGCTGTGTGACTGGGCAGTGTCCACTGCGAGAGACCCGCACCGGACGCAGACCCACGGAAGCTCATCACTGGGTTTTGTGTGGTTCATTTTCTGAAATTGAAAATATCGTATTATTTAACGGATGTCACGGTCAACATCATATTTACATTTTCTTTTCTCTCCTCAGCGATTTGTTTTGTTTGTAAACACTGAGACAAAACTGACAGAACACAAAATTAGTTATTTCACAGCGAACACTTCAGTAGCATTTAGTCTAATCACGGTATGACGATATGACAAAACCACCACCTCTATGGAATTCTGAGCCACTGTCCTCAGCTCCAAAGGAAAGCTGACACCTAGAAGCAGTTTGCTCTCCACTTCTGCCTCCTCCCAGCCCCTGGCAGCCAGCAACCTGCGACCTGTCTCCATGGATTGCCTCTCCTGGACATTTCCTATAAATGTGACACATACGTGTCATGCATACGACACGTGACCCATTGTGTCTGGCCACTCTCACTCAGCAGGTTTTCAGGGTTCGTTCACAGTGTAGGATCCATCAGTATGTCATTCCTTTTCGTGGCTGAATAGTATTCCACGGGATGGCTAGACCACATTTTGTTCATCCATTCATTACTTGATGGGCATCACAGAAATTTGTTTTAAGAAACTTCATTTCTCTGAAATTTGTCCTTTTTTATCATCTCAAGCTTCTTGATTATCCACAGCGAGTCCAGGTCAAAGATTTGGGAGACCAAACATCCCAGGGCACATTTTCCAACATTTGTGTTTCCTTTTAGCAATGAGCTCGTGTTTGGCATGAAACATGGCCTCTTAACCTGGAACTTGGATCCCCAGGTAAGGAAATAATTCTCTATCTGTGGGGAATGGCCTGGAATCAATCAATGACTCCCCAGTACGCAGAGCTGTAGCTGGTTCCACAATGGCTGGAGTGTGGCCACAACTCTGCAGTTGTGGCATGAAAGCAACCAAATACAATACATAAATGAATGAGAGTTCCAATAAAACTTGATTTACAAAAACACTGGGCCAGATTCAGCCTGTGGGGATTCTAGTTATCAACCCCTGCTCTAGGGCATTGCTAGTTACGTTAGGGAGATATTTTATATAAATATAAAATGGTATGAGGGGAGGGTGGGGCCTTCAGTTGGCATATTAATTCACATATTAATGTGTTAACTAATATATTAATGTATTGGTGATAATATATCTTGTAACGTAACATACAGTACTCTGTTTCACAGAACTTTGTGTCTGAAAAGTGTTTCTGACTCTCGGTTCCACCGCTTTCCGTGTTATCTTGGGCACGTCAGCGACACTGAATAAGCCACACACCTCACTGTAGACAGCAATGGCGGCAGTAACTAATCTCACGTATTACTGTGAGAAGTGAAATATGATGAGACGATGCATACAGACGTAATTTGAAATCCCACATTCAAATGTTCATTTGCGTCTATGTCTACACATGGCCTCCACAGTGACATTCAGTAAATGTTTAAAGTACCTTCTGTCTACACTGCCAGTTCTCACGCTAGCCTGCTTCGCGTGGTTGCTCCCGTGATCAGAAGCAGTGAGTGGGCCAGGAAAGTGTGTGTTGAACCTGGCAAGGGAAAAGTGGGTATGCTTTCCCTTTTGTCCTAGGGGCTAATATTAAAAAAGAAACCAACAAACAACATATTTGCCGTAGGAAGAGCCAAATGAAGATACAAATAAGTCAAATGCTCGAGAATAAAGGTGTTGGGTTTTGTTAGCCCTTGGACGTAGAACTTGTTTACTTCCTCAATATCTTGCATGTGTACAGTGTTTTAGAGTTCCCATATCAACTGTCTCCATTCACACGTTTCATTTAATTCTCTACTACAGTTGTATGCAACAGACAACTCTTATTTTTTACACCAAATGAGAGACCCAAGGCTCAGATTGGCGAAGGGGCTCCCAGGCCACAGCACTAGGAAGTGACTCAGCTCAAGCTAGAACCTGGGTCTTTGGATTCCTGGCCCAGGCCCTGCCCCTCTGCATCCACGAGCCCAGTGCCCAGAACGGTTCAAGCACACTGGACGTGTTATGTCAACGGTGATATAGACAAGTGAGCTTAACACACTCACTGAAATTATCTGTGACCCACGGACTCAGTTTCCTTCCGTCGATGTCTGTGTATGGTGCTGCCTTTCCAACTAGAAAACAGGCCTGGTGTTGTGTGTGCTATCAACCACACCAAACTTTTAAGGAAGTAGGGGTTACTCCATTTTATGTGGCTGACAGTTTGGTGTTGACATGGTGTTTGGCCAACATACAAAATCTCACGTGATCTACAATTTATAGAGGAACTTTTAAGTGCTGTACCTTGAACTTATAAAGAGGAGGAGAAAACCTACCAATTGTGACTCAGGAAATGGAATTTCAAGTATGTTTACGGAAAGCTGTGATGTCACTGGGTTTTTTGGGATGGCTTCCCAGCCTGGCCAGCAGGCAGCAAAAGCAGCCCTAGTGGGAGCCCCCTGCTGAGGGTCTTACGCCTCCATTGCGGGTGGGATGGGGAGGGGTAAAGAGACACATTTCCTGACCCTGTTTCTGGCTGATAAAATGACAACTCGGGCAAGATTCCTTTTATTCACCTAGTCTGAAGAAGCAGGCAAGACCTGATATTTATCCAGGGAAGAGCAGGAAGTCTGGGGTGATTTTCTCAATGTTGGGGACAAAGAAAATGAGAGAAAAATGAAATGGAGAAATAAGAAAAAAAGCACCTTTTAAATCTCTTGACTTGCATTTTATTTCCTGCCTGATTAAATTTCTTTCTCTGTGTTAATTCAAATAAATAACTATTGTAGCCTCTGATATACTCAGTGGGGTGGAGGAACTCGTTTGGCGAGGCCTTACTTATTCAGCTTTTTTCTGTCTAGTCTGCCCCCACCAGGGGACAGCTATTCCTAGGGGCTCTTTCACACACCTAGATTTATCTATAATAAAAATAATCTAACACCAGAGACCTTAAGAATTTTTTTTTAAAGGGTCTTACTCAAGGGGCGCCTGGGTGGCTCAGTCATTAAGCCTCTGCCCTCGGCTCAGGTCATGATCCCAGGAACTGGGATTGAGGCCCACATGGGGCTCCCTGCTCAGCGGGAAGCCTGCTTCTCCCTCTCCCACTCCCCCTGCTTGTGTTCCCTCTCTCTCTGTGTCTCTGTCAAATAAATAAAATCTTAAAAAAAATAAATAAATAAAGGGTCTTACTCAATTTTGAGAAAAATTGCCATAGAAAATTCTCTTATACAAGGAGTTCAAGGAACTTTTTGTAAACCAAAAATTATTCAAGCCTCATGTTCTTTGTTTGTAAAACAAAGATGAATTATAGACTTTCTAGAGCCCCTTCTAGATCTAACTGGGAAATTCAAGTTTTCTAACATTGGGTTTGCTTGAAGCAAAGGGCACACTGAAACACAAACAAGACATATAACAAACAAAAAGTGTCCATTAAATTGTTCCTCAGCTTTCTCTTCTTTAAGTTGTATCATCCTAAATGTTTTCGTCTTTCTTTGCAGCCCTGCTCTCTGAACTCCTGAATTACCTTTGTGTCTAAAGATGTGTGGTCTGTCTTTCGGTACAACATACTGGTAAGTGTGACGGGTGCCAAGCGTGAAGAGATGTAATCAAACATCGGTGGGCTTGGTATTTGCCCTTAAGGATCAGGCTTTACAATTCTAGCCAGGACTTTGTATATGCCTCTTTGATCCGCTAATAATCCACTTTCCTACTTTCCAAAACTCTAGACAGTTACATTCCCCCAGACAAGGTCGGCGGCTGTGGCTGTCAGCCTCCAAGATGGCCCCAATCTCCTGCCTCCTGGCATTCTCACATTTAGGCAATTCCCTTTCACACTGTCGGAGGGTTGACCTGTGATAACAGTATTACCAGAAGTGACAGCTTGTCACTTCCCAGATGAGGTTACAAAAGACCGTGGCTTCCATCTTGGATGTGCTCTCTCTCTCATCACTCGCTCTGGAGGGAGCCAGCTGCCAGGTCTTGAAGTCACTGAGGCAGCCCTGTGAAGACACCCAGGCTGTGAGGACCTGAAGTCCTCAGTCCAACAGCCCATGAGGAACAGAGGCCTGCCAGCAACCACGTGGGTCCCTCAGCCCCCAGTGAGCCTCAGAGAAGACCGTAGCCCCAGCTACTACCTTGACAACAACCTAATGAGAGACCCTGAACCAAGACCACCCAGCTAAGCTGCTCCTGAATTCCTGACCCTCAGAACTGTGAGATAATATTTATGTTTTCAGCTGCTAACTCTGGGGATCCTTTATTACAATAGATAACTACAATTAACCCTTGAACAACACAGGTCTGAACTGTGGATTTTTTTAAAAAAGATTTATTTTAGAGAGAGAGAAAAGGGGGGGGAGAGGGATCGAGAAAAACACATGAGCGGAGGGAGGGGCAGAGGGAGAGGGAGAATCTCAAGCAGACTCTGAGCTGAGCGTAGAGATCAACACGGGGCTTAATCCCGTGACCCTGAGATCACGACCTGAGCTGAAACCAAGAGTCAAACGCTTAACCGACTAAGTCACAAAGGTGCCCCTGAACTGTGGATTTTTTTGCCAAACAGTATGTAAATGTATTTTCTCTTCCTTATGATTTTCTTAATAACATTTTCTTTCCTTTAGCTCACTTTATGGTTAGAATACAGTATATAATACATATATAACATACAGACTATGAGTTCATTGACTGTTTATGTTATTAGTAAGGCTTCTGGTCAACAGTAGGCTATCGGTAGTTAAGTTTTGGGTCAGTCAAAAGTTATACACAGATTTTCAACTGGGTGCGTGTGTGGGGGGAGGGAATCAGTGCTCCAAACCCCCGCGTTGTTCAAGAGTCAACTGTAGCATGGTGGCCTTCAACCTTTCTGGCCATGACCCACAGGAATACATTTCACTCAGCAACTCAATACACACGGGCACACTGATGCATGTGCTCACATACTCACCCATTCACCAAGACAAGCGTCATTTCATGAAATGGTACTTTTCCCTACTATGTACACTCTACCTACTGGGATGTTTTCCTGATTATTGTTCTCTGTTCTATTTCATTGAAAAGAAAAGATAATAGCAGTCTACTGAACTGATTTCACAATCCACACTTGGGTTGTGAGCAAGAGTGCAGAGGTGCAGTGGGAGCAAATCCCAATTTCTTTCTTTTTTTTTTTTTAAAGATTTTATTTATTTGACAGAGAAAGATACAGCGAGAGAGGGAACACAAGCAGGAGGAGTGGGAGAGGGAGAAGCAGGCTTCCCACGGAGCAGGAAGCCCGATGCGGGGCTCGATCCCAGGACCCTGGGATCATGACCTGAACTGAAGGCAGACGCTTAACGACTGAGCCACCGAGGCGCCCCCAAATCCCAATTTCTTGTCTTGCCTGTCATTGGGTGACACTGCAGTCGTCATGACCTTAACTTACTCACTCACCCTCAAAGCCAGTTTAGTTTGATTCTTGTAAAACTCGTCCCCACTGTATACAGTAGGTACCAAATTAAATGCTGACTGATTCCCTGCACTTCACTGTGTTTGGCAATAGGAGTCCGGATGACACTACACATTATTTTTCTCTCTGTTAATATTTCATAAAATGTTTTAGTCAGACAAAATTTAGAAAATATGAAGAAAACCTCTGTGTTCCTATTCCAGGTGAAAAAAATAATTAGAAATACGAAAGCGGCCCCTATGCAGCCCTCCTTAATCCCAACTGCCTCTCTCTCACTGTGCAGGTAAACTTGAGCCCTGAGTTTTTGTTTTTCATCCCTATATATGTATTTTGTAGCTTTCTTACATATGTATACACACTTTATTTTCATACGGTGTTATATTTTACATAAACGGGATCATACTGTATATATCCTTTTGCCACTTTTTTCCTGCTTAGCAAGTTTTTGAGATTTATCCATCAACTCTAGCTCACTCATTGTAACTGCTGTATATTATTTCATTGTATGAGTTGTACCAAAACTCACTGGTCCATTCCTCCTGTTGATAATCATTTAGATTTTTTTTGTTACAATACTCAATGAACATTCACGTATATTTCTAGGGCACATCCTCTCTCGATGATATAACTAGATGTTGATCTTAAGAGAATGGGATGGAATATATAAACAATCCTAGCAGATAGTTCTGATTGGTTTTATCCTTGTCCCGTTTTCATATCTCAGCCTGCAGGGCTGAATTTGTTTCTATTTAGTTAACAGAGCCTTAGAGAAGGGGCAAGAAGTGAGGTTAAAAACCAAAACCAAAACCCAAAAAATGAAACATCTGCTTCTTTTTGAACTGGTGATTTAAGCAAGCCTAAGGAAATAACAAATGTTAGTCATTTTTAGTAGCTGCTGGAATGTCTTGACTGAGATTATCATGAACTCTTCTCTATGTAACCTGCCTATCAGAATCTATGGGCGGCATGATGGTTTTTACCCACAACTTCAGGAACAAAAGGTTGGCCCTGCCTCGGTTCTTCTTGGCTGGGGTTGGGAAACATTTCCTATCAAGGGCCAGGTGGTAAATATTTCAGGCTTTGTACGCTTTATAGTCTCTGCCACATCTACTGAACTCAGCCATTGTAAAATCAAAGAAGCCATAGGCTATACATGAACTAACAAGCATGGATGTTTTCCAATAAAACTTTATTTACAAAAACAGGAGGTGGGCCAGATTTGATGTGCAAGTGGTAGTATGCAGATCCTTGTTCTAATCAGAAGAAAACAATGTAGACCAGAAACATGTAGTATTATATACCCAAATTTTAACTTTAAATCTATTATTTTTCTCCTTTTTGATGGGCAACTATCCTAAAAACTGGTCACACCTAGCGCTGTTAGAGGGTGGGAAAATAAATACTTTTATATACTGCTAGTAGGAAACTGGTGCATTCGTCTGTTTCTTCAATAACTATAAAACGGTGAGCACCATCATGGGCCTCATATTCCACCCAATACTGGGGACATAGGAATAAAATGCATATGCACCCTATACTCACAGGCTAGTGTAGACAGACATTGAAATAGTTATTAATTGCTTAAAAAGGTGGTGGTAAAATGGATATTTGGTTGAAATGTTATATAATTGCGTATATATAGGACATATTTACAGTGGCATAAATACATCTGGCCAATAACAGAGTAATAATTACAAATAAGCAACCACATGACTCCAGTCTGAGGTGTCAGATATATCCTTAATCTCATGACAGAATATCATGTGGTTTAGGGGACCGAATCCAGGCTGGAGTCCATCTGACAGACCTGGGTTTGAGTCCCGGTTCCAGCACTTAATACCAGTGGGACCTTGATTACACCTTTATCTTCTTAAGCGTCAGCATCCTCTGTGTAAATGGAGATTGTAATCGTGTTCATTTTAAAAAGATGATTATGGGGGCGCCTGGGTGGCACAGTCGGTTAAGCATCTGATTCTTGATTTTGGATCAGTCGTGATCTCAGGGTCATGAGACTGAGCCTCTCATCAGGCTCCCTTGGGATTCTCTTTCTCCCTTTGCCCCTCCCCTCCTCAGGTAACTTCAGAAAGTACACAGTCCAGGTATAACAGGTAATATGGACAATTCTGTAGAGTCCTCAACCTGCATCTTTCCCCATTGGTGGCTCTTCACCCTGCTCCCCACCCCTGCCCGAGCTCTACTCTCCATGTCTCCCAGGAAGCTGGGATAGCCTTCCCTGCCTAAGAGAGAATCTTTCCTTCCCGATGACCTACGACCCTAGGACACCGGCTTCTCTCTTTCTTCAGATTCAAATGGAAACATTGGCTTTCCTGGGCCTCCAGTTTGCTAACTGCAGATCTTGGGACTTGCAAGTCTTTATAACTGGGAAAACCAATTCCTTATCATCTCTTTATAAACAAACCAACATGGACACACACACACGTGTGTATGCACACATACACATCCTATTAGCTCTTGTTTCTCTGGAGAACCCTAATACAGAGCAGTTCTTACCCTAAACTGCCAGTACAGCTATAGTCTGCATGGCACCCCCCCGGAGTTGTTCAGTGCACAACCTGCACAATTATACACTGCAGCTGTGCTCTGATCTCCCACCTCAACAACCCTTAAGACTCTCCACAGAGACTCCAACTTCCCCACCTCAGCTCCTCTCCCAGGGCCATGCACTCAGTACTCATGAATGTGGCATGGCCTACCAGCTCCAAATGTCTCTGACACCTTACCTCCAGGGACACAGTGGAAGCCGTCTCCGTGATAACCTGGTTTGCACTGGCACGTGAAGGAGCCTGGAGTGTTATGGCAGAAGGCATCGGGGTGACATCGGCTTGACTGGCATTCATCCACGTCTGCAAAACAGCCACCAAGCCCAGGGGACAGTGAAATTTCTTCTGGAATTCATAGTTTACACAATAACTTAAACCACTTGCTCAACTCTAGGGGACTCTGTTTCTGATCTGGGAACAGCGATTTAAAATTTACCAAACATGACTCATCAAAACACGAACTCTCCAATTTCTATCTAGTGTATTTATAAATGTGTTTCACTTTGATGATAGTGTTTTCATGGTAAGTCAAGCATGCAAAAGGAAAAGAGAGAAGATTCGTTTGCATTATAAAATGAGCCTTTCTCATCACAAACGAGAGCTTCAAAAATGTCTGAGAGTTTGGAAACATTATTAACAGCTGACAGAAAAAACCTCAGAGACAAGAGAAAATTCACGTGTTCAGTAACGACAACAAAGTATCTCAGAAATTATCATCTTAGAGAAGCTTGGACTTTTCAGGAATGCTGTAGGCTGTGCTGTTAAGCAATTTTGCAATCAAAGGGTCGGGGGACTGTTTTCACAGTTATCTTACCTAAAATCATCTTTAAGAACATCTTGGCAGCCAATGAAGGACTGACCTCAGGTCTAAAAGAATTCTGGGCAATCGTTTATTCTTTGACGGTAGTCATTTATTCAGTAAGGGGACTTGGCTTGTTTTGGGGCAGAAGGTGAGAGCAGGCCAGGGGAATGACTATATATATCTTACTAAACAAAAAGATATATATATCTTAAAAAACAAAAAGGACCTCAAGCCCCATGTATCCAAGAGTTGTTTGCCTTTTCGCAAAAGAAAATCTCCTCAGTTCCTAGTAGACAGTAGGAGTCTAATTGTTTCCTACGTGAGCAAGTCACACAGAACAAAATAGTAGGGGGGGAGGCTAAGCGTCTTGCCCAATGAGAACAGCCCCAAAGGAAAATGCAGGGTTCACACTACTGCAGAGAGACAAATGAAAGAATAATTCTCTTAATTTCAGGGGGAGTTGGTAATTGGCAGAGGGGATTTTTTTTCGGGCTCCACAGAGAGAAAAATCAGAGCAAGCACGCACCTTGGCAGGCTCGGCCATCCCCAGAGAAGCCTGGCAGACAGTAACAGGTGTAGGAGGCCCCTCCCATGTAGATACACTGAGCCCGCTGGGGTATGTCACAGTCGTGGAGACCGGTGGTACAGTAGTTGATGGGGCGCTGGTCCGCAATAGCTTCAAACACAAGGTTGACACACAACGTTTGAAGAGAGGCCCCCAAGCGGTCCCGGTGCCCTTCTAAGTAAGCTCCCTCTCCATCAGTGGTTTAGTCCACCGAGGAGAATGTGCCTAGACCCCAGACCTCCAGACATCCTGTCAGACTTCCTCCTCTGCTCCTCACTGGGTTGATACCCCTGGACTTCCTATTTTCTGCCACCTGCCCCTGATCAGTCTTTGCAGATGGACCCCATGCTGGTCATTCCACCTGGTACTCAACCTCAGCTTCACCCCGGGGCTCTGTCTCAGGCCACTCTCCATACCAGGGCCCCCAAACCCAACTTTCCTTCCACCTAGACGTGGAGGTGGGCCACGTGCAGGTGTATGTACTTCCCGTGGCGACTCTGCTGGAGCATTTGGAGCCAAGGATCTGAGACTTCTACACAGTGTCTTTACCCTTGGCCACCAGGCAGGTAGAGCACTGAATACGAATGCTGAAGGCGAAGTCACCCATTTCCCGCGAAGGAAGGAGAAGTAAATGTTTCCAGGGCAGTGAGACAGGTGTTGTAGAGAGACTGTGGGTTTTGGGGTGTAAGCACCCTGGGTTTCTACCAGGTACACACGTGTCCACCACATGGCTTTGGATACATAATTTCTCAGAGCCTCACGTTCTTCCTCTGTGGGAATTACTTCCCACATGCCAAGCACAGGGAGGCCCAGTAGATGAGCTATTATTCTTTACAGGGTCCCGATGATAGAACTCACAGAACGAGGGCTCAGGAAATGGGTGAGTGACCGAGGGGATGGCCGACAATACTGGCTTGCGCTCTTGCCTCAAGATGGAAGTCAAGGGCTGAGGTCTCGGGGGTATTTTCAATGGCTGGTGCAGGTTCTCTGGGGTTCTCAAGGCACCATTTAGCTTCTGGTTTTAAAGCTCTAAGACCCAGGACAGAATCCTGTCCCTCAGAACGTCAGAACAGAACCCTCTTCCTTCCCTCCAAGGAAGCCCTCCGTGTCTGGATTATCCCAAAGAAGGAGGGCTTCTCCTCTTTCTCCTCCTCACTGAATCTTCCCAAGATTGATTACAGTTTTTCTTGTCTTTGAGAGAGAGAGAGCTCTAAGCACTGTCAGGGGACAGGTCAAGGAGAGGATACTCTTCAAGGGTCCAAATTTCTGTCTGGAAAACAGTTACCCAGATAATACCTAACGAGTTCAAGAACACACTCTGCTTCCTTGGACCCTCCTGTCTTCTCTCCCATCGCCTCGTCTCTAATGCTCTTCTTTTCTCTAGGGTCCCCCTCCACCCCCAACTCCTTCAGCTTAGGCGCCCTAACTTTCAACAAATCAGGGTCCCTCAAAGGTAGGGAAAGTACATGCAGACAAAACCACCAGGAAACGAGTCTCACTCTGCTTTCTTTTCTCTATCTCTTCCTACACATATTTATGCCCTTTATAGCTCGTGGGTGGTCATTTTATAAGTGATGTTCGCTCACGGCCTCATTTTGCTCCATCCTAATTAACAGAGGAGACCCTCCGAACACAGCAAGCACCTATAGGTCTCAACATTCCCTCCTAGCCATTGTTGTCACGCATACGTTTCTATAATCCTCAAATCATTTCTAGAAAAAGGCAATTTATAACTGAATTTTTTACATCACGTTTTTCTTTATGGAAGACCACTTTGCCATGCCAAAAGCAATTTGCTTCTTAAAGAAGCTTAAAAAGCCGGCTTGCCATTCCAAATGGTTTAGTTCTACCTGTTTAATTTTTAAAATAAGTGAGGCATTTTTCAGTGAGGTTTCACGTCAGTTAAGAGGGAAAGTCTCTTCCACGGTTCTTGACGGTGAGCACACAGCCCACGGCCCTGGCAGTGTGCTTCAGTTCTCACTCAAACGGAGTTTCTAGATGCTCTTGCTGACGATGATCATTCAGAGAGGGGTGAGGACAGTCAACGGAGGACAGCGGCTACCCCAACAACCTAAGCCATCAGAGGGGACACTGGGGCGCCCCGCTGTGCTTTCCTCAAAGGTTCCCGACCTTGTGGAGCTGGCGATTTCTCTGCAACTCTGATCCCACCCGTTCTAGTAATGGGAAGCTACATGCTGGGAGGGAGGCGGGCTTTCTGGAAAGGACAGCAAACCAGGCTCAAATGAGAATTAAAATTTAACTAGAATTCCAAGCAGACTGTACACTGGGGTTGTGCTTTTTCTAGGGCCTCCTTTTCTGAAGAGAAGCGCAGAAAAGGACCGTGCCCTGAGCTGGAAGGAGCAGAGCAGGCTGGCTGGGCCTGAGCCACTGCCCCCCACCTGTCGGCAGGCCCCCAGAGCCACCCGCAGGCTGCCGGGGGCTGGAAATGAGGCGACGGGAGAGAAGGAGGGAGATGCCAAGAGGGAAGGGCAACTGAGGGAAAGAAGTCACATGTTAAAAGGAGAGAAAGGTATACAGGGTATAAAGAGCTCTAAGGAGGGTGGTTTCCCTACTTACTTTAAGTTCTGAAGATAAGGTCACAAAAGTGAATGATTTACAATAATTTTTCCTAACAACATGACAGGAAGGGAAGGGAGAACACTGGGGGAAGCAAGGCCAAGCCTAAGGCCCTCTTCCTGCCCTGAGGGATGGGCAGGTACATGGTGTTGTGCACTGCACAAAGACACCCATGTGAGGGGTCAATGCAACCTCAAATTTCCCCACATTCTACACCCAGAGCCACGTATCATAGGGCTGTGGCCATGCAGAGGGGGGTTGTCTGTGTCTCCACATAAAGGTGATCTATGGGCTGTTTCCTTTGTGTGAACATACTTTGCACATTCTAATTAACTGTAAAAGTTGGCACGCGGTGGAAAAGAGAAAGGTTGCGGGTTTACAGGAAATGCCAAACAGGGAAGTCCACAGGGCAGCCCCTCCCACACGGGATACCGATCCTCACGGAAAGATCCTTATGTCTGGCCAGCCCACATCCACTGCACGAGCCCCAGCCTTCACAGCACCGGCCTCCTCAACTGTCCCAATTCTCTTCCCTCCCTTCCCTGCTGTGACCTGGAGAAAAACCTTTCCAACCGAGGTTCCTGCGCAGCATACAGCTGTAACGAGGAATTTCGGCAGAGGTGAAACTGCCCATTAGGTGATCCGGTGATGAGCCACAGTGATTTGTTTGAATGCGTTCAAGCAGACTTGGTTTTACCCCGTGAGCCACCTCTCCATGTGGTGAGTCTCAAAGGAGCAGAGTAATAGGGGTGATCCAGTGGCGGATCTTCAGGTGGTTTTCACATTTGTTTCTGAGCAGTGGGATCCACCGTTCAAACACAATCTCACTCAGAATGTGATGTATAGAGAAATGAATGGCTGGAGGTCGGGGTGGAGGACAAATCTGCCCAGGCTCCCATGGATCCTCACTGGCAGCTCCTGAGGGATCTCCAAGGGCTCCGGGGGCGCACAGTAAACCCATGATCCAGTCTGAGGCACTGAGGTCCAGACACGTGAAGTGTCTTCATCAAAATCCAATGCCTCGGAGTAGACATTTGCAACCCCACCTGTCCCCCAGTGAGTGTGCACGTCAGGGATGGTTGGCCACAGAAACCCAGGACGTCACGCCTCACAGCCATCTACCCCAGAACTGCACCCCCCCACCCCCCAGGTCTGAGTCCGGATGTAATGTAAATGGTGCTGTCATGAAAAATAAACGTTCGAATCACCTCCATCTCAAAAAAGCAGGGAAGGAAGTCAGGCCAGATACACAGAAATGGTTGTTCTCTATTGAGAAAGAAAAAGAAGTAACCTTAGCAGAGCTGAAATCTGCACTCTGTGCAAAGGGGACTGGCTTCTCTAAATCCACAGCTGTTTGGGTCACATTCAAAATATGAGAACTGCCTGTTCCTTTCCGCCCTCAAGCCATCACCTCACCCTGGGACCTCGGCAGCCTCATCTGAGCTTCGAGACAGAGCAAACAATGCACGCTAGGCTTCAGTGAGCAGCAAGGAAGAGGCAAGGAGGTGGTTCACTGACGCCATACAAGAAGAATCTGTTTTAAAATTGGGAAGAAATGCTGAGCTCGGATGGCCCATTCAGCATGCTGCCCTCCAGACCCGGAAATCTGCAAGAATCTCTGAACTTAAAATTCTTGGAACCCATAGGTCAAAGTGCTGCAGTAGAAAAAAAGTGGAAAAAATCTAAACAATCTGGCTCTTTGTGGTTGGCCTACCAGCACCAGCCCCCCCCCGAGCACCACCAACCTAAAGCATTATTAGCCCAATGAAGAGCTTCAACTCCCTCCTTTGACAAGGCTAAGAAGTTCTGCTATGACTTGTGGCTTACAATAACGTTGCATATTCCTTAGACGTATGACCCTCCAGGTGGGTGGAGGGAAGGAATGAAGTCTGATTCATCTTTGTAAACTGCTTCTCCGAATAAAAGCCGGCCCCTGCCATCCCAACCAGGATAATTATCTGGGGCATCACCTTCATCCGCACAGATGCAAACGCACACCATATGAACAAGCGTTTTAAAAGTTACACATAACTTACCCACACACTTTCCCTCCTCTGAAAACTGATAGCCCTCCACACACTCGCAACGGAAGGTTCCAGGGTGATTACTGCAGATTGCGTGGCTCCCACACACCGAGGGCTGTTCTGAACATTCATCGATATCTACAATGAATTTTTTTAAAAAATGCAGACTTTAAAAAAAACTTCAAATATCAGTAAATATAATAAGATAGAAAGCATTTTGGCCTGTAAACGGAAGAGACTCTTAATCTCAGGAAACAAACTGAGGGCTGCTGGAGGGGAAGGGGGTGGGAGGGATGGAGTGGCTGGGTGATGGACATTGGGGAGGGTATGTGCTATGGTGAGCGCTGTGAATTGTGTAAGACTGATGAATCACAGACCTGTACCCCTGAAACAAATAATACATTATATGTTAATAAAAAATAAAAAAAGAAAGAAAAATGATTTTGAACTCCAACCAGCTAATATACAAAGAAAGAGTCTTAATCTACATCAAAAGATAGGTGAATAA